CCATTAAGAAATAGACTATAGCCCTCTTTGTCGCCGTTTTTTTTCCCGGTTCTACAGGGTTGTTCACCACATACAACACGGAGTATTGTAGCTAAACGATTAGATTTTTGTAAATTTTAAGTTTTGTGCTCGTTGAAGAACTATTAGAGCTACAACTTAAAAATATTTTTACGAGATAGAGTCCCAAATAATTAAAAAATTACAGTTTTATTTTTTTTAAATGGAACACCCTGTATATTAATAAATTTTTAGTTTCTACGATTAAAATAAAGGAAAATTTGATTAAGGTTTGCCGTATTTTAATCTTACCGTTTTTTAAATATTTAGGTTTTTGTCAAAATACAGTAATAATGTTAATGCTTTATTTCTCTAGGCGTATTTTAGAACCAAATATTGTACTGAAGTATTTCTATTTACTAAATTTTGTGTTGCAATAATAAAAATTATACAACCTTATACAGAGTGTCTAAAATATATTTTAAATAATTATTAGCTTTAAACGGTAATAACTTGTTTAACTTAAATGGAACACCCTGTATATTTGATAGTCAGATGCACAATTTAATTGTCTATCAAATTCTATTTTACCATTTTTTACCTATCTCTTCAAGTTATCGTAGAAAAGCCAAAAATGCATTTTTTTATAATTTTGACCCCATTTATCACCATGGAATATTGACATTTTAGATTACTTTTAAAGATGTAATAAAAAGATGCCAGATATTAATATCGTCGATATAGTTTGTTTATTTCATTAAAAAATAAAAAACTGTTTAAATATTTGTTAAACAGGACCAATTAATATGATCTTAGTATTCAAACTACATTAATTGACTTTTTGTGTTGATTAATAATAATTGCTCCAAATACTAAAAAACTGAATTTTATATGTGTATTAGACAGTGTAGTAAAAAATAACACTTTAAAAATTTTACTTCGTTTTCGACGAATGCTTATTTATAACAACAGAGACGTCCATTTTCATAACTTATTATATTTATTTCCGATTCAAATCCACGTTTATTTAGAATAATTTATTAACTAACATAATATGATATGTAATTAATTAATATTTGAGCGGAAATAATGGTGGTATATTTAATTAATGGTATACTGTTTTATAAAGAGATTTAATAGTTTTCTTTTTGTATACAAATGGGCTAGTAATATTATCGTTTTTAGCACCTGTACATTTTGTACATTTGTTGCTTTAAAAATGTCAATATTCCATGGGTATATTGATAAATGAGGTTTAAATTATAAGAAAATTCATTTTCTACAAAAACTTGAAAGGATAGTTATAAAATGGTATAATACAATTTGATAGAAAATTAAATTGTGCATCTGATTCTCCTAAAATATACAGGGTGTTCCATTTAAATTAAACAAGTTATTGCCGTTTAAAACTAGAAATTACTTTTAAAGTATAGGTAGTATTATTTTTATTATTGCAACATAATAACTGATCAATAAATAAACTTCAGTAAATATTTAGTATTAAAAACTTTGATACCCTTGGAGAAATGAAGCCTTAAAATTTTTACTACAATTTCACAAAATTGAAAATATTTCAAAAACGGTAAAGTTTAAGTGTAATAAAATCAAATTTGCCTTTATTTTAATCGTAGAAATTAAAAATGTAATAATATACAGGGTGTTCCATTTAAAAAATACAACTTTGACATTTTTTATTTATTTGGGAAAAATATTTTTAAATTGTAGCTCTAATAGTCCTTCAACGAACCCAGAACTAACAATTTGTAAAACTCTAATTGTTTAGCTAGGTAATGTATGTGGTGAACAACCCTGTAGAAGCATAATAGGATTACCTAAATGTCCAAAAATATATTTTTTAGTTTAGTAGAGATTTTAAGATTTTAATTAAATTAATAAACCAATACAGTTCAAAATTAAAAATTTCCAGCTGTTGCACGTAATAGACTCCGCTCCATTTTGGCGCGAGTTGCAACATGTAGACTCGAGCTAAAGGCACAGTCTAGAGTGAAAGTCGAACTATCTCATTAAGAATTAATTAACTTACTCGGCAGCAGTGAAGTTGGAAAAGTTCGTTTCCGAGTGTGGGACGTAAGTTAGAGGGCTTTTAAACTTATTAAATATTTCTGTCCACATTTTTAAAGGGAAAAAACAAGTTTATCTGTAGGAGAAAAACTAGAAAGATAGCTAGACAGGTTTCATTACGTATATGTATGTCTGCAGATATCTAAGTTACTTTAGGTTTATTAAAAAAGATCATTTTTAATATGGGTTTTATATTTTTGGTCATACTCAGCTTTATTAAACTGTTAACTTTATATTCAGATATTATTTGATTACAGTAGAGGGTTGGAACCTTTGGTGTTACAACAGCAAAATAAAACACTAATTTACTACAATACACCAAAACACCTTACTTCTGCACTGAAATTTTGAGTGCAAAATTAAAGTGTTTTAGTATATTGTCGTGAATTAGTGTTTTATTTTGCGATATGTTATTTGATTATATCTGGCAAATAAATAACTCTGTGAATTGGTCTTTTAGATATTTCTCAACCATTCACGAATTCTCAAATATATACATAGATATTTAAATATTTGGTATTTATCATAATTAAATGAAATATGATACACATGTTGTTATTTATGTTTGAATTATTACTTACTTAGTGTCAACGCGGTTCATTTTTATTATAAAAAATCTCTTCATCTAAATTGTTTATATTAAAAACGATATTTTTTTTTTTTTTAATTTATGTTATTAATAGAGGGTGAGTGTTAAATAAAAGCACATATTTTGATAGGTGTTATATTTCTGTTTTTTTTTTAATTTTTAAATGTAGAATGTATGGGTGTCTCCCTTTTTTGAGTTATAACGATCATCATACAGTCTCAGGGCTTTGACAAAAGCCAGTATCTTAGAACAATTTCACAGAGGTTAGTTCTCCATCTCCGATATCAGTCGTACCAAGCTTCATAGCACGAATGGCTATCATCTCGGAGCACTCAGTGATGAAGTGTTTTGGTGTTTCCCCATTTTCGCTACAGAATATGCATTCGCCGTTGTTTCTTAGCTGCAATCTACTGAGGAGTTCATTGAGGAGACAGTGTCCTGTTAAGAAAATCCGTGACTATCCGAAGATTGTTCTAACTTAATCAAGAAAAATCTTTGAAATTATTCGGTTTTAAGTTCTGAGAAAATTCTTCGAATGTCTTAGGCCGGGTTGGAGATCTTAAACCCATTCCAGGTTACGGATTGAGTCTTCCAGGTTATTGAGTTCCGTTTCCGTTCTGGTTAGTGGATGGTACTTAGCTGTTCACAATCTGTTTTCCATAAATACAACAGTTTCTGTTACAATCGTCACCACTAGTGATGTGTCGGTATTTGAGTAACGCGATTTTGGAGCGGTACTTTTTTGTAACGTCGTGTAGCGCTCCACAACAAATCAGGAACCTGTTACTGAAGAACAACGATATTAATGACAACAAAATTATAAATTATTTATAATGTGCAAATAAATTATTTATAATCGCACTTGAAGTTAGCTCGAACCGTAGTAACCGCATAGCGACGTGTTTAGCTCCAGCCGTCGTGATTTTGTCGGTCGCCAACAGTAGTATCTGGAACTGGTATGTCCGTAGCGCCGCGCGATCTCGATCGGGACGTGTTCGCTCCAGCCGTCGCGCTCCTAGAGTTGTAGTTCCCTATCGCAAACAGAAGTAACTGCTGTAACTGATTATCGACGCTCGACCTCGGCGGCTACGTACTCCGTTCCAGCAGTCGCTGGAGCGCTTCTAGGGTTTCGGTTTTGCCTGTCGCGATTTGGTCGGTTACTATTGGCGTTGGTGCTCCCGTCGCTACGTTACTTTCGAAATAGCGATTTTTGGTATGTACTAGGCATGGTATAAAATAGTGTTGTTTGAAAGATGAAACGCAAAAACAAATAAAATAAAATAAAAATATTGTATTTGCTTTTATACATTTATATAAGTTTTATTGTTTATATCTATTTTTATATTTTTAAGGTTAGGTTAGACCAATAAACCATTGTTTTACAGTGGTTTGGACTTTGTTCTTGATTTTAATATTAAATATATTAAATTGCAATACACATAAATATGAGCCGTTCATTTTATTTAAACGAAAATTGATAAAGAAAAAAAAAATAACAAGGAATGTCATCGTTTTTCTAAAAATGAGATAGATTGGCTATACACAATTATAAACTCGATATTTGGAAAATGAGTGGCGGATAAAAGTTACATTAATCTACAAATATAGATAAGTTAGATATATTTTAGGGAGGACCGAAGTCGGAAGTTCGGTTACAAAATCGCGGTATTTCGTCGCGGTATTTTCTGGAACGGTCGCTATTGTAACGCGACTCATGTGGAACCGGTATTTCCATCACTAGTCACCACTACCTTTTAATTTGTGTCGCACTGTTTTGGAACAGGTGAAACTGGAACAGATTAGCTTATGAACCTGCTCCAAACAAGTTACACACAAAACCTATTTCGAAAATAACACATCCTGTTCCAAAGCATCATCACCACTGGACGTATTAAGCTTGTTATAGATTTTATAGACTAGTAAAGTAATAATTCCAAAAATAAACAACAATATGTTTATCATATTTCATTTAATTATGATAAATAACAAAATATTTAAATATCTATAGTTGAGAATACCTAAATGGTTAAGAGTAGAAAAGTGTATTATGAGAGAAATGTTATTATAGGAGACATAACTTTCAAACCTTGTATTATAACATGTGAGATATAACTTACAAATTTTCTATTTTTAGAGTATTTTTAATATTTAAGAAGATATATGCACCAAGTTACTTATTTTCCAGATCAAATAATATATCGACATATATTAGATTTATCCATACTAAAATAATTTTTTTTGAATACGTGGTATTTTCTTGATATTTAATATAATAAATCAATAGAAACATAATTGACGAAAAAGTTTCTTATACATTTTTTTCTTGTTGCAGGATTGTTATCGTGGGATGTGAACGATTGCCTCGTAAATTTGGAAAAAGAATTGTCCATCATAACCGAGCAAGGTTTGGAAGGAGAGGAGGCAAGATACGGTAAATAGATTTTTTACGTAATAAATTACCAATAGATGGATCAATTTCATCCCAGCTGTGAGCCAGTGCGTGGGAATATAATAAAATATTACGTTTTATTTTATTTTTTATTATATTATATACAGTGTCAAAGAGACAGTCCCTATATAAGATTTTTGTATATTTCTTGCCTTAGATGAAATTTAACTTCAGTGATTTAACCTATTTACTACTAATGGGTATCCGCCAAATTTTACATTTAAAGAAAAAACGGGTTACCGTCCCAGTTTTGAAAAATATTATCCAGAAAAGTTTGTTTTAATTTTACATTGGGTAGCATTCGATTTTTTTCAAAATTTTTGTTGTTATTTTTGACCAAGAGCAACAAGATCTGTCTCTTTAGAAAAGACTTAAGTCATTAAAAATATTTAAGTCGTTTTGTCAGATTTTTATATATTTTAATGATAAATTTTTAACAGCAGCATTTCTCTTTAAACTGTTAAGGTTGATTCTCACTATACCTACCATATCAGCTCCCTTCCGTTTCCCTTCCGTTTACATAAAATATTATATCATGTAAATGAATAGGACAATGCACACTATCCGTTCCGTTTCCCTTCCGTTCCATATCCTTTCCTTCCATACATTTGTTTGGCGGACGGACTGAAGCGTATCGGAAACAGCGTTGTCAAGTTCTTACATTTGTACCAGCTCTGCTAACAGTTTGCTGATATTTATTTATTCTTTCACCTATTAATTAAATCTATTACCTTTTTCAAAAGATACGCATTTTTAAAATAAAACTTTTGTAATGTAATAATAGTTCAGTCATTGGGGATCAAAAAAGGGGCCTGCTTGGAAAAAAGTCCTGAAGTTTTGAAACTTTCCAGGTTTTGGGGTCCCTAACTAAAATCCATAAAATACACTTTTCCAGACTTGCCGAAGGCGACAAGTCTGGACCGACCCGAAATCGGTATTTTGTGAATATCTTGAAAACTATACGTTTTTCGCGAAAATTTGAGGAGAGCAAAATTAAAGGAAATAAAATTTCCTATAAAAAAGTTTTTATAAAAATTTTCGCTAAAGTCAACCGTTTAGGCACAAAATCCCTGGAAATTTTTCAATTTTGCGTAAAATATGATATATTATGTATAGTCGATTTTCCGAAATCAAATGTCGATTAGGGTTCACTACAACTAGTTTTAGTTTAGTGTCTTCAATTTTGTCATAAAACAGTGGCGTATCATTAATTCGCTCATTAATTTATGAATAATTAATTGTCGTGCTGGACAGCATTCATTGCGAACTTACCATCAGGTTCAGCATTGGTCTGGTCGTACCAAAGATGCCGAAGAATGGGGTTGGAAGAAAACAAAAACAGGCATTACTCCAGTCACAACGTTGAAAGATCCAACTCCAAAATCCCTGTTGGCATTTTTATCCTGTAAATGCAACACCAACAACTATGGTAAAGCCTGCGGATGCAGAAAAGCAGGATTAAAATGTTCAATGATTTGTGCATACTGCAATGGAAAATCCTATGACAACGTCACTGAAGTGTCACTCGACGATCCGATGAAGAGGAGTTGGACTTGCCTGTAGATATCCCTCTGGCGGCTGAAGATGAAGAGTTGGACGTATTGAGAGACCACCCTGATGAGCCTAGCACAGCAGACACGATCGACTTTGACATCAATGAGCCAGATCCATCCAGCTTGTGCAGATAAGTTAAAGTTTTTAATTTATCTAGTGGAGTATGCCTCCGGGGAGACCATGTTAAAAAAAACGCGCCATATACTTTACCTCTTGGGTGGTGTGGAAGCAAGTACACATTTTAAATAATTAAAATCAATGATTCATAAATTAATGAGCGAATTAATGATACGCCACTGTTTTATGACAAAATTGAAGAAACTAAACTAAAACTAGTTTTAGTGAACCCTAATCGACATTTGATTTCGGAAAATCGACTATACATAATATATCATATTTTACGCAAAATTGTACAATTTCCAGGGATTTTGTGCCTAAACCGTTGACTTTAGCGAAAATTTTCATGAAACCTTTTTTATAGGAAATTTTATTCTCTTTAATTTTGCTTTCCTCAATTTTTTGTGAAAAACGCATAGTTTTCGAGATATTCACAAAATACCGATTTTGGGCGCCATCTTGGCAAGATGGCAGCGCCGGCGGCAAGTCTGGAAATGTGCATTTTATGGATTTTAGTTAGGGACCCCAAAACCTATAAACCTGCAAAGTTGCAAAACTTCCGGACTTTTTTCCAAGCAAAAATCCCCAATGACTGAACTTAAATTGTACAATAAAAAGTATGGAACCGATACGGAACGGAAGCTTACGTATAGCGTCAATACAATCAAAAATACGGAACGGATATGGAATGGAAACGGAAGGTATAGTGAGAATCAAACTTTAGTCGGCAACCAAGTAGCAGAATAAAAAAAAATACTCAATACCACTAGTAAATAAACTGTTAGTTTTTCGGAACCCGTTTTGATTATTTGTCATGTTACGCGTGCGTAGTGAGTCTGTTGTCTTTTATGTGAATTCCCGACTCCGTTATGTAGCTCTAAAGACGAACGAAAGAAATTTATCTGGAATATATTGAAGAGTCCCTTAAAATCCTACAGCCCTTAGCTTATGCCATCTATATATGACAAACGGACTACCATCAGAAATGTTTTGATATTTGAACACTAATTCGTGTTATACCGTTGTAAAGTCAAGTTGATGTAAATTTCAGATATCTCATAAGCTATACACTGTGTCACTAAAGAGTAAATAAAAACAATTAAGCCAGGAACCAAGTAACAATCAGGTACAACATACAAAATCTTCAGCAATTATATTTTAATAATAACTTAAAATCGATGCAAAACTATGATCTAAATTTTGATTTTGTTCCATTTCAATTATTATCATAAAATGAGGATATTATAATGTAGATATGTTTTGTCTTTATGTAGATATCAAACCAAATATACCTGACATGTTTGTTAGGCTTTTTGGGCGAAAATAATAGGTGGAGGTTAATTTGCATAGAGGGCGAACCTGTCGAGATTAGAGCTTTCAGAAAGTTTTGATTTATATGTCGCATTAGATATGGTAATTAAATGGACTATGAGGTTAACATTTCATATCTTTTAACACCTTAGAGGTGTTTCAAAAGCACAAAACCGAAAATAATAAACTTTGGAAAATTATCTGAAGTGAACGTTTATTAAAAGTATTTTTGAGTTAACGCAAGTGTGACTTTATCGTATGAATTATTACTTTTGTTGATCTGTATGTTGGTTTCATTGAGATCAATGCGTTGAATAAATGCATATTTATTTATAAATCTTATCTTTTTGCAGGTGAACGTTTGATACAGTTTGCTTCAGAGAATCTAGTGACCGAGATATTGATTCACCCAGCAGTTAGTACGCTATCACAGTGCGTTAGGAACTTACTTAGTAGTTTTACTAGGCATAGACACATCATCCATGCAGGATACACTTTCCAAGGAAATGGTTCCTGGGCCTTACAGGTATATCTCCCCTTTAAATATTACCATGTCATTAAGGAACACGTTATATATTATAATTTTAAAATTAAAAAAAAGTTTTAGAAAAAACTTATATTTAAAGAGTTAACATTTCAAATAAAAAAGATTTGAAGCTCAGTATATTTGTCCTGTTTCTATAGTCATTTTTCTATTGTATTACAGGATGGTACATTTTCTTATACTGATTTTTCCGAGGCTTTCCAAGAAATCGAGGTGCAGCGTGTGATTCACGCTTACGAGAATGGAATATCCATACATCTGCACTGCAGTCCAGAGGGAGAGTGGACCAGAATGCCAAAAGAATCGTTTGCCAAAGCTTGCAAGGTACGTCCTTTCGTTTTTGTATGTTTCAGTCTGTTTCAAAGAGAGTTTATTGTTCGATACTGGAAGTTCCTGTTACAGTTAGCTCAATTTTTTTAGTAAATAATAATAAGAAGACATGTTTTTATCGATATGTACAGCTTGAAATGGATGTAATTAATAGTTTCATTTATATTTTGCAATAACGTTTTTAATTTAAATATATTATGGTAAAAAGTAAAGTTTTTAAAGAATTTGATAAAATCAAATTTAACAGAATTTGAATTTGAATTTGAAAAGAAATAAAACTAAATTTCTATCAACATAATATGTCCTATGTCCCAAGGAAATTACAGCCTTTGAAAGGGTAGCTAAAAATAATATATTTTATTCTTTTTTAAGAATATTGGAAGAAACATACGTAGTGTTCCTAGGACCACTATTCTATGTTTTTTATACAGCAGATTTTCCAACAAACAATAAAAAACAACGGCTAATTTTGCAGATGACAGAAATTATGGCTGTTGACAAAAAGTCTGTAACAGCTTTCATAATATTACAAAGACACCTAAATGTAACAGAGGCATGGTTGCGTGATTGGAAAATAAAAATTAATCCATCAGAATCGGCCAAAGTATAATTAAACAACACATTAATTCCGCAATCTTCCTCCACCATGTATGTATTGCATGTCAGTACATATTTCTTCTGTCTACCATGTATCCAAATACATACTTAGCTTTGCACTTTCAGAAACATGAAAGGTTTTCAAGATATTTGGGTTTAAATTTTACAATACGTTGTTTTTAGTATTAGGGAAATAATGAGATATTAGAATATTTTTAATAGGTAACTGGTAGGAATTTGAAAGGAGTGTATTAAAACAATAATTAACAATGTAGTTAACACAATCTAATGCACTAAAAATTTACAAGGTATGTTCCTAGCCTCAGGTGCTGTAACTTCCTTAGAAAGCCGCCTTAGGACATAATATAAACTTCTTTTTTTTTCCTCGCCAACTGAAGTTTGGTATACTAATTTTTTACACCCTGTATAAGCACTTGATTGATATTTTATTTATTTATTTTGTTGTTTGTATAAGCATTTAATTGCCTATAATTTGAGACATGTTTGATTAATGTGGAGTTGTTTTATCTCTAGGATTATTTTAAGTAATTTTTAGGATTTTAGGAAAAAATTAAACCATATTTTCGTATATTTTCATTTTTCTCTAAAACGGTATAGAAATTTGAAAAATTTCCAACGAGATTAGTCATTAAAGCACAAGAAAAAAACTTTTATATACAATATATTTTTCTCAAAATCTTATTCATTAAACAGTGACATTATATTATTACGTTTTACCCATTCCTTCATTAACAATATCGGTATAATTTCCCATTGTTCTAGGTCCGAGTTAATCCTACGGATGTGCTGACCACTGGCTCACCGGCTATCTCCAACTTTGTCAAATACTTGTCTCCATTCCTGTTGCCCACAACTTTGGAGACTATTCTGGAAAGTTCCGATGTTGTGGGTAATATTCGGTTTTCCAGGCCGACGTTGTACGTGTTTCCAGGTGAGTTAGTTCGTTAGAATTACTGAAGCGTCGAGTTTTGGAATGATATCGGTGGTAAAGACGAGAATTATAGTTTAATCTACTGGGATAATCGTTACTGAAGTAGAGACATAAAATTTAATAATGGGATAATTTAAATTAAAATTTATTTGTCATCGGATTATTGAAAATTAATTCGAATATTTTTAATAAATGATAATATGTATAATCGCCTCCTGCCATGACCCACAAATACAAATAGTGGATGCTTCGGCATAATCTCTTTCTTTATCGTTATCGAGAAATTGACAAAGAGTTAATAACTTAAGTGTTTTACCCTTTTTTTGGCTCACGAATTGGTGACGATACTGCCAATACTGCCATTTCGAATTACTAATAAACAACGAATTATTATAATAAGAATTATTATAATATAAATGGTTTATAACTCGTTTATAACGATTATTGAAATAATTCGATATTTCCTATCACTAATAAAAATAGAAAATAAACAAATAGTGGAGTGCTTTAAGCCCTTATGGGATACAAACCTCGGAATTCATTTACTGTGAACAAATTTTTATAAAACTTTTTGCATTGTATTGTTAATAAGATATATTACAAAGTTTACCCATTTAAATTCGTTGCTTTCACTTTAGTATTTAAATAAGCACACATATACAAATACAGACATACACCCAAGTAGCATTTTCACGACTTACGACCACATGTTTACCAAACACAACGTAGGATTAGTTACAAAAAATAGTTAGCTCCGTACCTTGGGTATTAAAATAAATGTAAACGTTGTTGTAACGTTGTGCCGACGTTGAACCAGTACTACAACAAAGTAAAAGCTTCTGCGACGTCGAATAAACGTTGTCTTGTAACCTTTTTTGCTTAAGTGATCTTTAGGTAATTCGGACAACGTAGTTACAATGTTGGGCAATAAAGAGTTTTCCGACGTCATTTTCAGGACCTATTCCAACGTTATGCAAACGTCGCGCGTCGTCTGTTTTACTAATTCCAACGTTGTTTAGATTTCCTTATTCTTACGTTGGTAGCCACTACCTTTTTGTAACTGTATTGAACCATAACCTTAAATCTTAAATTTTCACTTCATTGTTCTGTTCAGTCAGACAGTTCAGTGCTGTTTATGTTTTTATAAAAAAACTTAATTAAAATGGGACGTAAGAAAGGCACATATAAAACTAAATTTAAATATACATCGACATATTACCGATACTTTATCCACTCCCTCGTTTATTTAGCATATAGAGGGCGGCACAAGCTAGACTCTAGGATGACTAAATTAGGCAATCTTGCGACTATTATACTACCTGTTAAGGCTGAACTGCGACTTTATTAGTCCAATATGCGACTACTCGAACTACTCCATCTTAATCTGCAAAACAACAAAGTGAAAGCCGCCATGTTTTTGAATAAGAAAATGTTTCGTTCCTAAAATAACAATTCCTGCTTTTTGAATACATTAACTTGAAATATTTGACCCTAAACAACATGCCGAAACATTTTTTTTCGACTGCGAATAAATTATTCTCATTTTACTAAAAAAAAAAAAATTTCAAGAAATTTTTTAAAACTTCTTTAATTTTACGGCCCATTAGTATTTTTCAAAGTAGAAACAATACATTTATCAATAAAGTTGTTTGCGTTTAACTTTTCTGCCTTGGGTAACGAGTTACAGAGTTGGTTAGTGTTTCTATAATTATGATCTTCAAACATCCTCCACACTTAAATACTTTTGTTTTCCTTTGCTGCCATCTGGCCTATGTCTCTAACTAAATCATAAAAATAATATTTTTACTATAATTATCCCAATTTAGGATAAAACGCGACTTAGACGCCATATTATTATAGTTTTGTATTTCTGTGAATTAGAATTTTAAACAACGTTGCAGTTTGTACTAAATTATGCTGCTAGCCAACGTAGGTATCCAACGTCGTTTTGACTCAAAAATTATTCTCCAAACTAGTGCAGATTAGGGTTGGCACGAGCTTGTGCCAACGTTGCGCCTCGACTTTTGGTCGCGTTACACAACGTTGTCCCGACGTCCAAATGCTGCTTGGGCAAGATGGTTACATGTTCCGAAAAACCTTTGTATCAGGATTCCTATTTGAGATTTTCACTCCAAACCTTTTACAAAATCTGCATTTAATGGTAGTTCACATTTCAAAAATATTTTTATGGAAAATATACAGGGTGAGCCAAATATATTTTTACACTTAAGTTTTAGTTTTTCAAATGAAATGCTTTATATTTGTTTAGTTTTTATAAAATTCCGGTTCCAAAAATAGCTTAATACCATAGAGTATATTGAGTGGTTTTTGAATTATTACCACGTCCATGAGGACGTCAATCTATATGTCCAGGAACCTTTGTATGACATGTTCTAATCGAGACGATCGACTTATTGTAAGTTTATCGCTAAAAAACCGCCTTTTGCCAGCTTTTCAAATTTATAATGAATTGCACCTAAGAAACGTACATATTAACTAACGGAGTATAAAAAAAAGACTAAATGAAGCAAATATTATGTCAAGAAAGCCTGCTTCGGGACCAAAATTTACTAGATCTGTTGACTAGGACCAAAAGCAAAGGCATGGTCTCAATGTAAAAATTACGAAAACATGTTAGTGTCTTCTTCAAAAGCGAATATCTCCAACAAAAATAAAGCTAATGAGGTGAACCAAAAAACAAACTATCGAGAAAGGATGTATCTAGATGATAAAATTATTTTTAAATTTCTTGCTGTTTTAACATATTCCACAAACCAAACTTTCACCGAAATATCAACATTTCGTTTTCCCTCGTATAATTAACAGATGGGGAGATTTAAGGTGTCCATTTTTCGTGCCGGTGAATGTATTTCAAAAACTATACATTTTAGTCGTATAATTTTCTAGTGAAACTTGCCTTTATTTTTTTATTAGAATCCGAAAATCAAGGGGTGTTCCATTACAAACAACACAACTTTTAATGTGTATCTTTTTTGGGGATGCCCTGTAGAACTCTATATATTTTTAAAAAGTGCTCTGAATTAACCTACATATGCTCACAAAATTTCATTTCAATATAAACTGTCGTTCTCCTTGGAGCCTCCGCGTCATATGGGAGGCGCCACCCTGTCTTATTATTTATGGATATACAATTTTTATTTGCTTCTGTACCAGTAATTTAAAATAACATAACTCAGAAGAGTATAACATAACTGAGAAATAAAATAACTAAGAATAATTTGACATTAGAGTTGTTTAACTGTAACATCGACGTTGCGAGTCTATCTTTTCATAAAAGTTAATAATTTATAATTAACAAATCATTTAATAACTATAATAAATTAATTTTTATTATACTATAATTTTAAAAACTTTTTTCTAAAATTTTCTTTCATATTTATTTATTTGGCACTCTTTCTCTGTTTTTATGAATATCCTGAAACTACGACAATGACTTTGTAAAATGTCGATAAAGGGATTAAAATTAGGCCTGTGGTAAAATCAACTATAACTACATAAACGGTTTTATTATTTCTGCTTTTATATGTTCGGTCTAAATAATGGTGTATCATAAGTTGTCGCATTATGCAACAAGAAATTTGGTATATTTTTTAATGCATAACTAAAAAAATTGGTCAAGTGCGAGTCGGACTCGCGCACGAAGGGTTCCGTACTATAGTCTGTCCAACGAGAAGATCCTTGACAGTGATAGATGTGTCTGTCGTTTTAATTTCAAAGTAGTTTATTTTATTTTACAAAGAAATAAGTTGGTACAATTGAAACGCATAGCAGGAAATTAATATATATGTATTTAAAATTTGACTGACAAGTAACTTCAAAATATTGTGAAAAAAAACTGTATAAAACTGAAAAAATGTAATCGAGTTATTTTATTTAATAAAAAACGGTATGTGTTAATACAAAACAAACAAAAACCAGACACCACATACCAAAAAATATAAAAAAGAACTATTTCTTACTTTCAAGCTTTATGAAACTTCCCGCATTTATGATTATATTTGTCAATATAACTTATGTACAAATACAAATTTGTAATATTCCGCAGGAATAAATAAAACAACATAAATAAAACAAACTATTTTATTAATAATAACATTTACCAAATTTTATACCTCACAGGTTGATTAATTAACTTTAATCTTAATTTTTTTAAACCAGTACTTTTTGACATTATTTTTCTGCAGTACTAAGATCCATTATTTACCTATCGGGTGATGTCGATATTTTACAGCTACTCCAGTTTTTAGTATGTGTTTAGTATGGTTCTTCTACCATATTCGAGATGCACTTATCTACGACGAGATGGTATACGAACTTTATTGATAGTAGCTTTATTGGTGTATCTGTATAAGACTTTCTCCCTGGGCAGCAAGTATTAACCATAAACTGTGCTCTGGGGTTCTACAGTTAATTTTCACTCGATTTTTCCTCCACTTGACTTCAAAAGACACAAAACACTCGTAATAATACGAATCAAAATGCATCATCTTCCAAAACGCAGGATATTTGACAAAAGTTGTCACAAAATTATAACCTATAATTTGGCAAGACTTTGACAAACGTCAAAATTCTAAAGGCGAGTTCATACGCATCGGCGTCCGTTTGTCGTTCATCGTTCCGTCAAACCAATAAAATTGAAATACGATCTGTCATTTTTGAAATAAACCAATAAAACTGGTTAAAAACAACAAGTGACGACGCATGACGAATTTATATTTAAACCCATCCATAGTTAACTTAAAAATTATTAGAAACTTTTTTTAGTAAAATAAATAGATTAGTATGGGACGTCATCTGCTTTTCTTCTGTCATCGTCTGTCGAAATCTTACCTGAGAAAAAAAAACAGAGTATATTCATTATCTATACAACATTAGAAGCTATATTATTATAAACTTTTTTTTCCGATTTAGCTGACATTTTGAATGCCCGTATAAGTAATTTATAAAAAAAGAAACACATTACTAAAAATTATATTAAT